GAAGGAAGGAAGGAAGGAAGGAAGGAAGGAAGGAAGGAAGGAAGGAATAGAAGAACAGAGCTGGAAGATATCTTGGAGGTCTTCCAGTCCAACTCCCTCCTCAAGCAGGAAACCCTATACTCGTGATGGCGAACCTATGGCACGCATGCCACAGGTGATATGCAGCGCCATTTGTGCGGGCATGCAAGCCCCAGCCAAACTTACCTGCAATGTGCATGTGCGTGTCTCCCAGCTGATTTTCGGCCCATTTGAGGCCTTTTTGGCCTCCCAGAGGCTCAAGGGAAGCCTCTGTAGCCTTTGGAGGCCGAAAAACAGGCCCATTTCGTCACTTCCAGTACTTCCGGTTTCATCACTTCCGGTATTTGGAGGCTGAAAAACGGGCCCATTTTTTGCCCTCCCAAGGCCGCAGAGGCTTCCCTTGAGTCTCTGGGAGGCCGAAAAAGGCCTCAAATGGGCCAAAAATCAGCTGGGAGGTTAACGTAGGTAAGAGGGTAGCGGGGGGTGGGGGGGTGTTGCACACTCATGCACAGGGGAGGCGGGGCACATTGCATTGTGGGTGCTGGCACGCCCATGCTTTCGGCACACACCACAAGGAAAAGGTCCACCCTCACTGCCCTATACTATTTCAGCCAAATGGCTGTCCAATCTCTTCTTAAAAGCCTCCAGTGTTGAAGCATTCACAACTTCTGGTGTCATTGATTGATTGTTCTAACTGTCAGGAAAAATTATCCTTAGTTCTAGGTTGGATCTCTCAATTGGTTTCCATCCGTTGCTTCTTATTCTGCTTTAGAACATAGAATAGAACCACTTTCTTTGGCTTTTTTGGAACATTAGCTATTATCTATGGGTTTTTTTTTAAATGTATTAATACCTGCTTTACCTTACTTGATATGACCTAAATCAAACCCTTTGTGGGAAGTAGAAACGCATAAGTCAAACATTAAAAAACAAAGATATTGAATCACATCAAAATACCCAAGGACCTAATCTGTATTTTCTCCAATCTGGTGTTCCTCAGAGGTGCTGGGTTGAAACTTCCCAAGGTCCCAACAGATCCCAAGAACATCTGGAGAACACCCAGCAGGGAAAGGCTTTTCTAGTTCATTTAAAGAGTGGGGAAGAATTAAGTTACAGAGATGTTTTTATAACTTCCACCTTCAGGAATGAATCTAAGAGCAAAAAAAAGAAAAAAAGGCAAGGTTGACATAAAAAGAAGTCCAGTGTATGTAATAAGATCTGAACAGATATTAGAGAAGAGCTGCCTTCAAGTGGAGTTGTGGTATAAACCCACATCACAAAGTTAAAAAGTGATCAGCTAAATGGATTATCTTCTGGTACAACAGACAAGCTGCCTTTCCAAAAACAATAACTCCCTCTCAGATAAATGGCTTGATGAAAGCGAGAGATTTTCTGCTTTGTAAAAGCACAGCCTAATCATAATATTAATTCTGCACACAAATGCAAGCATGAAAGCTAGATTAACCAATTATAGCAACCTAGATGGCACAGACCCAAATCCCACATGCTTTAATGAATCATAGTCAAGGTTTTATAGAAGCAACGGCAAAGGGGAAGAAGCAATGAATCCATAATTTAGACAGGTTTTGCTCTCTTTGGAATAAGCTTTGAGGGGTGGTGCAAACCAGGAGGAGGAGGAGGAGAAGAAAGAAGGAGGAAGAAGAAGGAGGAAGGAGGAAGGAGGAAGGAAGAGGAAGGAGGAAGGAGGAAG